GGTCCTTATCAAGTGGATTCTATTGCTTGTGACAACGAAGCATAGGAAAATATAAAATTAGGCTAATCGTCATCGCACATAGAAAGGATCCACTTGATAAGGACCAGTATTACTGGTCGAAACGTCGTGGTAAAATGTAAACTTAAATAAAACTGCCAGCCTTGGTCGATCTAATCCTTGAGTATTTTTGGTTTTAATTACTGGCGATACAACAATTCTAAATTTGGTTTCTTACAATATTACGTCATTGGACACTATTTATCTATAAAACGTATGTATTATGTATTCTCATTTTAACCTTCTTGACTCCGGCTTCGGTTTATTAGTTATTTATTTATTGCCATGTTCTCCGTATCTCCTTCACACCATTGTCAGACTTCAGTCCTACTTTGGATGTTACATCGGATGGACGTGCCGTCTAACACAGTTCTCCACGTGATGCCCAGAGATGGAAGTAAAACTGCCGTGTTTTTCTTTAATTTGATACCAATGACGTAATATTGTAAGTTTATAGAAAATAATTCTCACGACGTTCATTTTTTACTTATTCTTGACTTTGTTTCGCAATTGACACGACTGTAAGATGCAATGTCTTGTTTTTTTTTTAATAATTGTAGATTGTTGAATTCCCTGAAAAGGACCACAACCCGTATGGTCGAAACGTCGGATTTTGATTGAATAAATAAACCATCTGCCAGCCTAAGTCGTCTAACAATTCTTTTTATCGTTTATCATTTACTGGCGATTCACATTCTTAAGTTGTTATTAAAAAATGTTGAAATAATGTTTTATGGAAAGAAGTTATGAAACAGCTCTTTCTACTAAAATGGTGATTTTTTCACCTTGTCCTGCGCGTCCATTTTGCTGGTAATTTCCCCTTCCTCTGCTATTATAGTTACTAGCGGACCCCCTTCTGCCTCCTCTTCCTCTGTATCCACCACGTTGGTCAGGCACCCAGGCCTGCTGGGACGTTTGTTGTGACGCTTGCTGACAATCTTGAATGGATTGTTGCTGTTGATCAGACTGATTCCAATCATTGGTCTCGGTCATCTGGCACCAATCGATAGATTCATTTTGCTGTTCCAACGATGAATCGGAAATTTCATTTTGACCATTCTCGACCTTTTCCTGGAAGGAAATTTCATGAGTCACCGAGAACCATCGGTATAAATTATGTATTAATTCTGGGTCAAAAGTGTCACCTCCGTGGATGCTTGAGCCTCCTGCTGATGCGCTTGCTCGTTAAAGTTCTGCATCTGACCTTGCTGCGGTAGGTGCGCAGCATTCGGTTGCGGCTGCTGTGGCTGTTGAGGTTGAAAACTATTCGGGTGTTGCGGGCTATACTGCATATTCGGCTGCTGATGAGAAGGCGGCATCGGAATCGGCGGCGGTGGATTAGGATTCGCGAAGCCAGGAATGTGCGATATATCCTGCGGCGGCTGATATATAACCTGCTGAGGTACGCTCACAGGCGCAGTTGCAAAGTTCTGATTTGTGAAGGTTTGCGTGGGAATGGGCGCATTGACTGTGGGAGGAATGTGTGATACGATAGGTGCTTGCGACTCCGGTGGATCAAGTTCAGATTCCTGCAAGAAAAAGAAGTTGGGCGTGCCTATAACGTCATTGATGCGGGCTGCCGGTGGAGGTTGAGATTGCTGGGCCTGCTGCTGCTGCTGTTGCTGCTGCTGTTGTGGTTGCGGGACAAAGCTGGTGGCATTCGTGTAGTAAGGAGTATCGACTGGCGCGGCTGGATGAGGCATGGGTTGCGGGACAACCGGTATAGGTCCCGAAACTGGGCCGGCACCGGAAACAACGGGGAGCGTAGCGACTTGGACCGGGAAATTCGGAATAGGTACCATGGATACCTCCGGTGGAATGTGCCTGTCGTTGCCATTGCTGTACTCCTCGTTGACCTGTTCCTGTGTCACCTGTGGACTACTGATCTTCGTCTCCGTCACACTCTCAGTAACCTGTACAAATATAAAGCCGATTTTATCCCTCTCTCAGATTAATACACCAAATTACGGATTGCTCAATATCCTGATTAAATACCTCCTCTATCGGCGTTGCCTCCGAACACTCGTGAACCTGATCGAAATAGCCGCATTGATTGATCTTTGCGATAATCTCCTTCAATTTGTTATAAGTAGTGCCAATAACTTCGCGCTGCTTCCCATCCACGATCGCGACGTAATGCTCCGCTACTTTCTGCGCTTGTTGAACGAACGTAAGATCACCTTCCTCGCGCTGATGTTTTATCATCATCTCGTTATACAAGCTGTCTAGGTACTTGAATTCCTCCTCCGACAGTTTTATAGCGCCGTTCTTCCCATGAAAGAAGTCGTCTCTGATGGACTCTGTGTTTATACTTATCAAGATCTGCTGAGTGAGTAACACCTCCTTCACCTACGAACAAAACCATATTTTCTCAAACTCGTGCCACACAATATACGCATGGTATAACTAGATCCACCCTCTGTCGGCCCTTTTGATCTTTGCAATCACGTGGTATTTCGCCATGTTTGTGGTGCAAACCCAGCAGCGTATGTGTGTCATAGACTACGTTTCCACCGAGGGTCAAAGTCGGGCTAGAGTCGGGTCAGAATCGGGTTGGGGTTTGGTATTTTGGTGTTTCCACCGTAAGAGCGTCACCCCAGCCCGATTCTGACCCGACTCTAGCCCGACTTTGACCCTCGGTGGAAACGTAATCATAGACTTATTTACTGGACTGTTCCATCCGTAGGAGTCGTCGGTCGCAAGATACAGAAAGAGAGGGGGAGCAAAGGTGAATCGATGTGTCTAACTTGTTCGGTTTCTCCCCACTTTTAACGCTGACCGAAAGAGAGAGAGAGAGGGGAGAGGGGGGGAGAGAGACTTTTGAAATGTCTGCACTCTAATGTTTAGGACAGCGCACCCATAGGGATAGCGCAGTCTAGTATACAAGTCTGTGTACTCGTCAAACTGCACTACCCCCACACACAACTTTTCTCTCATTGGCTGCACCAACAAAATGTCGGAAGGGATCGATGCAAAAAAAAAACCGAAACAAATGACGGAGTGGATCTACTAGTTATACTATGATATAAGAGAGTAATCTTATTTAAAATTATACTTTTGCAATGTCCTGTTGCATACGCTCGACAGCCTCTTTCCGCGCCAATTTCTTCTGCTGCTTAACAGCGTCATTGGCAATGTTGACAATCTGCTTGTACAGGTCACGCGTAATGTCCAACGTTTGAAGCACCTCGTCATACTTGGCCACCGCTGTCTTCTGGTCCGAATTCAATTCCCGTCCATTCTTCTGCAAATCTCTATATGACTCGAGTCTGCCCTAAATTTCAGAGAGATATATATGGAGGATTAGTTGGATTCTTTTCTTACAGCAATCGTTATCACCGTCGACATACAGAATGAGCTGAGCATTGTGACATGCAGACACGCTACAGAGAGGTGCTATATGGGAGGCTTATATTTGTCACTTTTGCTAGTATCTCATTGGTAGTAGAGGGTCAAAATTACCAATGAGAAGTTAACAAAGGAAACGTAATTTCCCATCAAGTGCCTCTCTCTACAGCAGGCACGCGTTAAACCCTGTGTCCACAATCCAAGAACTGTGTCCAAGTTCTAGTTCCAAGAAATGCGTAGCCAATCAACGTGCAGCTTTTATGGAATAGCTGCAGGTTGACTGGCTACACGTTTCTCGAAACTAGAACTTGGACCAAGTCCTAGCATCGTGGGCACAGGCCTTTAGGACCGTCTATTAAGGCCTGTGTCCACGATGCTAGAACTTGATCCAAATTCTAGTTCCGAGAAATGTATACCCAATCAACTCACAGCTATTCCATAAAAGCTGCAAGTTGATTGGCTACACATTTCTCGGAACTAGAACTCGGGTTAAGTTCTAGCATCGTGGACATAGGCCTTTAGAAGTAAAGCAGAAAGATGAGACCCATAACCCTTACTTTTCAGTATAAAAGTTGAAATGCAAGCATAATTTCTAAATATTTGTAGGACTGACCGGACCGCGTTCCAATTCGATGAGACTAAGCGTCAGAGGTGAAGTAGGAGTACGGAATAAAAATGATTCATCTCCTTACTCTATTACTTCCTGCGTCATGCTTATTTCATGTATTGTAGACGATCCTAATCGCATCGTTCTGTGTATAGCCTGTATTCTTGTTTTATCGATAAAAGCGGCCGTAAAAGATGTTTTAAACCAAATTTCGTAGTGCGTATTATAATGTAACATAATTATATGATCGTACAATAAAAATCGTGAAACGAACGTTATTGAAATACGAGTAAAACACGGGTGTAGGTCAATGATCAGGACGAAAGCAACGATTACGACAAAAGTTTAGACACAAAGTAGGTTGGAGTAGATATTTTCGTTTCCAATCTGAAAGATCCAACACTGAGAAACGTTCCGTGAACGCACACGCGCGCATACACACACGCGTGGCAAAATCGCGCGACAAAGCAACGTCGGCGTACGACACTCGCCGCGGTGAAACTGGAAAACCGGGGAAACGCCGAACGCCGGTCGCGCGGCGGCTCCGCGTCGAGCGGGAGGATTCCAACGCGCGTACATTGCCGGCGGACGTAGTCGTCGAGCGCGTGCCGGCGTGGCGTGGCGCCGAGGACGTTGAGAAGCTCGTCGTGCTACAAGGAAAATGACTCGTGCACGCCAGAGATCGTACACCGCCATGATACGAGGTTGGCGACGAGCTGGCGCGTCCGGGAAGGCTCGAGGAATCCGATCGGCCGGCGGCGCATCAGCCGCGAGTCGCGGATCGACGCTCGATTCGAGGCGACGCGGACGAGGCGCGCCCGGGCGCGCCGTTTGTACCATTGAAAAATTGCGAGGTGCGAGCACATGGCATCCTCGGAGGAGATCATGGCGGATCGCGGTAAGAAAGCGACGACTGACAGATACGGGGCTTTTGCCTGCAATTACGGCCCGCGTGGCCGCGACGTCACGTTTACCTTGCGCTTCTCGAGATTCCGTATCTTGTGCTCGATTACGACGATCGCTTGGCGGAACGGTTCCACGGCCTCCGTAGAGGCCTGTTTCTCAAGTTTAGGGTTGGCAGAAGGCATCCTTCACAGGCAACAAACCAGAACTGGGAGTCGGAACGGTAACCAAGTTCAACCGAGTCGCTGGTGGGCCGAGGAGTGGGGAGGGGTAAGTGGAACGACGGAATGGCGGGCCGAACGTTTCCGAATATTCCGAGGGTTCGCATGCGCGACGATACGTAAGAAAGGTCCATCCAGATGCCTGGCTCAGTTTAAACGAGGATGTATTCTCTCTGTTTCTTGCTTCCCCAAAATTGTGGGGTTAACACTGAGAAAACTGAACGCTATGTTTTCTATTAAAAACCGCGTGGAAAAAAAATCGGAGCAAACCTTAATCCTCATCGTCTCTAATATTTCTTTCTGTGTGTGAAGCGACGAAAACACTAAAATAATTTCACTTGTTAATAAAATAATAAAGATATCACTTGATAAGCTAATTTCTTACCACACGCCACGTTACTTTATATATTTGCATTTTTATTAACTCAGAATATTACTGCCTCAATTTCAGATCAAGTATCGCTTACAGAAATTTTCAAATCTTCCGCCTGTTATCGGTTTCTTGTTGCACTCACTTTGGATATAAGTGCAGAAATTACAATGAAATGCTGTGCCGAGTACAGATAGTGAACAGCAACGTCTGACGTCAATTCCGCTGGAAAGAACGCTTCAGTCTACATTTTACGTTCTAGCGCGGAAAGTTTAGCTACAGGGAATAAAAAATCTGTTGTTTATTGAACAGATAGTTGGCGGCTACTTTGTTATGAACACTCCGAAATAATGAAAACAGCGCGCCTCGTGTAACGGCTGCTGATTGGCTCCGCCATTTTCTCTACATGCAAGTGCAATCCTAAAGGCCTGTATCCACGATACTAGAACCACAGTATAACCAGTATGCCCACTCGCTCTTTTGTTTCACATTCGCGCCGATCCGTACTGCGCATCCGACATGTTTTTATTATGACCAATCACAGGATTTTTGTACGTGTTTAGTGCAAAGTCGGTGTGACATTAAAAAATTGCAGTGTTGACGAATAACGCGTTAATACTTTTATACGTTGGAGCAAGTAATTACATTAATTACTTTTATTAGAACATTTTTTTCATAGGCCATTTCCATTTACAATAAATAATGTACGTTAGTTCGTATGCGCCTTTCCTGGATACGATCCTGAAAAGGGCCCAGGCACTTTTAGACCCGGTTTCACCAACGCGAGTTAATACTAGAACTTGGTCCAAGTTACGAGATTATATACGAAAAAAAAATTTATTATATATTTAATAATATTACATAAAAATCTATTTTTATTTTTTATATTAAATAATAGGTTGTTTTTAAAATATTTTATTTTTAGTCAGTCGCCTATAAATACTTCTAAATTCATTTTCTGGCACTGAACATGGACTATGTTTACACGGTACTTTAACCGGAGGCTGGCCAATTACAGTCATTCCATTCTTCTGAGGAATAGTCGTGATTGGCCAGTTTTATAACTACAGATGCAATGACGTATATAACTAGAC